AACTGCACTTTCTTCTCTGCATTCTTCACATTTAACTGGTAGTCATGGGGAAGAAGAGATGACGAGTAATTGTGTAACATACATAGAAAAAAAAAGGAAACCTCTGATTTAAAAAATGTCATATCACTTCATTAAAATTTCTTTTTTATGCAGCAGGGAAAAGATTAATAGGACTGATGGAGGGAAGAGCATAAAAGAAAGATAAATAAGCTTTAACTTTGCTGATATTATGTTCTACATAGCATGACTAGAGGCTTCTTTAAATTCTAAATTCCCTTGATCTTTATCTACTGTCCCACATATTTTGGGTCATGTGAAGAAGAAGAAAATGAAATTGTGGATTCTCACACTTCAGTTAAAGATCCATCTAAAGAGCTGGTCTGGCCCATGTACAATGAAACTTTTTCATTCAATATGTGAAGTCAAGTGTTTTGCAGGAAATTCTCAGTTTCTTTACCATTCACAAAAAAGGATGGAAGAGCATCTGAAGAAACCTTTCTTAGAAGAAAACCTTTCCCTCCTGTTGAGGAGAGTATCAGTTTTTTGAGCTACAGAGTACCTTAGAGTTTTCTTATGTCTACGTCTTGATTTCCAGTCTTCCTGTCATGGATCCTTACCAGTTCATGACCAGAGGTCAGACCAGATGAGAGGTCATAACCATTTAATTAAAGGTACTTAGAACTGTTCTCTTTCACTCAAAGCAGAGCAGCCACAGCTACAGTGCCAGTTAGCAATGGTTGCTAGTCCATGTGAATTCTCTACCTACATGTAGAAATCACATGGGAAGGAACTTGTTGTCTGAGGTTTAAAGCTATCCTATCTAATCTGTACAATCTTGTCAATCTTATCTAATACAATAAACAATTGGACTTGGGAATGACACCTTAATTTTATAGCATATGCATAGCTTGGGGCCTGGACCTGGGTTTTGCAGTAGAAAGTCATATAACAGTTTTCACAGACTGATCCAGTGATTGTCAAACCTTCGAATTGGTAGCGTTTGTTTTTTTTGTGAATGAAGAGTTGACTTTTTTTTCTCTAATAAAATTCTGAAGGACAGATATATTGAGAAGTACTAAAATACCTCTACACTTCAAAAAGTCAACACTCTTCAGGTATCATTGCTGACATTTGCAAAGGTTATTTAAAGCAAATGTACAATTCAGGATCAGATTCTTAAATTGCTTAAGCAGCAAACCCATAAACAAAGCTTCAAGGCTGATAGGAGATCTGCAGATCCTGCTATTCTGAGTTGCTCTTTCAGATCAGTTTATATAGCCCCTAAATACAATGTGTATTCTCTCTAGATTCTCTCTCTCTTCTCTCAACGTGTAATTCTTTTAAAAAGCCTCTTTTTTCCAGTTAATTGCTAGGCATTTTTCTGTATAATTAGAAATAAAAACGCCATGTTTAAAATTATATATGTTGTGTTGATGATACTTGAATGAAAATCTAGTTCTTATATCTTAGCCACCTTTTCTTTATTAACATGAACAGATAGTACTGAAGATGAGAATTTTTTAATACAGAAAATAGTCTGTTTTCAGTCTGAATGCACAGAGATAGTAGACTGCTGTTATAATGTATGTACTGTGTTATAATGTACGGTGGTTTTCACAGTTAGTTTTATATTCATCATGCTACTTTAACATTTGGAATTTCAATATTGAATTTATCTCTCTATTCATTCCAAGTGAACATTTATAGTATATGATCAGAGAAAATACTGTCAGAGTACTGTGCTGCTCCATTCCATATAGAAGCATCGTGAATCTCTCTGTGCTATGTCAAGTTGTCTGGTTCATATTCATATACAAGTGCAGTAGCTAATTTTATGGCATAAGGCATGATAGCTCTCTGCATTGCTCAGAGTTGAATGAGTGAAATCATTAGTGCAGGTAAATCTCCATGTTGCTGCCAACAAATTTATTTGACATGTGGTTTATGACCTACTAGATGTAAATGTCTGCTGTGAAACTAATGATGGATGAAGCAAGAGCACAAGTTATCTCACTAGATTTCCAGTTGGGCTGGAAATAATCCATCCTGTGAAATGCTGACATGTTCACTTCCAATCTTAGTTAGAAAATTGAGGTTGGAGTAGATAGTGCTGAAAAATAATGGGGTGAAAATCTGTTCTAACTTTTCAAACCATTTTCTACTTACATTCTTAACTTAGTACAGGGTGCTTAGGGACTAGCAGAGCTATTCAATCAGTTTCATATTAACAGAAAAACCCCATGTGCATGACTCTGCTATGATATATTTCCCATTTTAAAGAGAAATTTTGGCTATTACTGCATGTGTAATATAATTTAGTGTTTTCTGCTGGTACCTTTAGAGATTTATTTAAGTCTGAGGGAATCTTAACTGATTCTGAACAGTTTTACAACTGTGTGTTCTTAAAGTATTATTTTTCTAACAGTATTTGATTAAAAAAAATGAACACATAAAGAATGACCTGTAGTTTTCTATACTGCTCGTCTTTGTAAAAGTAAGTGTTGTAGATCTGCAAAGTAAGTCTACAAGAATAAACATCAAGATAGCTTTGATCTCTCCCCAAAGGATAAGAAAAAGCTTTGGAGGTTCTTTAATGTTCATATGCCTAAGAATAGCGACCTGGGTTGAAACCCTGGAAGAGAAACAGATGATAGACATGAGAAATATTGTGAAGATGAATCTCACAGCTTCAGGTATTTCCTGAACAGATTATAAATTCTATGTATTTTTTTTTTCTAAAATCTGACCTAGTTTTAACAGATATGGTGAAAGTCAATACAGTCAATGACCTTAAAGCTGATATATTAAAATGCTGTGGAAAGGTCTAATTATTTAAAAGGTCACAGGATAAAATTTTCATTCCAATCCTGTTATTTCCAGCAGCCAATGGAATTGAAACACAAGTATTAATATTCCTCAATTACTTTCAACAAATGCTTGATGCTTACTTTGTAGGTTTTATATTCTTTTGAATAAGGGAATTATATCTAAAATTTTAACAGCCATGAAACAGGAAGACTAATTTTAATGAAGCACTTGCCTAAAATTAAAACCAGGAAAGCATTTAAAGGGAGAATTAAAACTGTCTCCAATATTCATACAAATCAGAGACACATGTAAAATAAGAACTATTAACATTTTATGTGAAGCTGTGATTAAAGTAATACAATTCTAAATTCTAAATCACAATACAATTCTAAAAGTAATATATTACAACAGAATGACTATAATTACATTTAATTCCAAATATTATCTATGAAGAAAAATTTAATAGTAAAACATATTCTACAGAAAATAGTTCAAAAACCTCCTGGACATTTTATAATTTTAAATAAATGTTGTTTGAATTCAAAATACCTTTTTTATTGAAAAAAGATTTTAAATCATTTTAAATATTTGAAACATGGAATTTCCAATAGAAAAAAAAATCTGTCAGAAAATCTGAGGAAGATTCTCTTTATTAGAAAAATCTGTTTGACTTATTTTGAGGTTTTGCAAAACAAATTTATCTAGTCAAAATATCAGTCTTTTACTGCAACTTTTGATGTCAAGAATAATTGAAATAAAAATGTCTCAGTGATACTCTTTTGGCATCACTGCACTGGTTTTGATTTCTTATGCTTTCTTCCTCACCTCTCCTTCCATTGCTCTCTATCTTAGGTTAAATATAGGTTTTACCAAGACTATATGGTCCTTTGGAAAGTCTTGATCTCTAGGTGATTCAAAGGCAAAGGAGATATGTTGTTCTGTCACCGTATTTTACACTGAAATATCTCAGCTGATGTTGTTGAAAGCAAGGACAGATTTAACTGCAGCATTGCTCAACCGTCAAGAAAATTGTTTCCTTTTTAAAAGGTCCTCAGTTCCTTGATCAGTATGATTTCTTGTGATGTTGAGTTCCACTGTAATGTTGGCATCCATTTTTTAAAAAAAGTATACTACCTTTTTATTAACATAGATCTGTTTTTTAGCGACAGCTTCCTAATCTTGGTAGAGATATTCTCCACGGTTTCTGTTTCTTTCTCCATTGGTGACTATCACCGGCATTCAAAATGAATGGACGAATATTTGCTGGAATGTCCTTGAGTATGCCTCAAAAGGAGTGAAGAATCTGAGATCCAACATATATTGTCTGTATAGTCTTTACATACTATTACATTTCCAGGATAAATTCACGGACATGATATAAATTAATTTAAAAAAGAAAAAAAAAAGGGCATAGGATTTCCAGTATTCTTGAGAATTATGTGTATTTACCTAATATAAGTGCAAAGTATGTGCAGAAGTAGAATTTCTGTTGTTTTATACAAACTTTAAAGACAATGTGGTTCTAAATATGCAGATCCCCCCCCCCACCAAAAAGAGTTTGCATTTAGTTTGGGTAATACTCTCTTTTCTTTTCTTTTCTTTTCTTTTCTTTTCTTTTCTTTTCTTTTCTTTTCTTTTCTTTTCTTTTCTTTTCCTTTCTTTTCCTTTCTTTTCCTTTCTTTTCCTTTCTTTTCTTTTCTTTTCTTTTCTTTTCTTTTCTTTTTTCTAAAACTCTATTTCTGAGAATGTAGTCATAGTAGCAGTTAAAGAACTGGTATGCATTTCTCTAGATTTAAAGGAATTCTTTTGAACCATTAATAATCCTACATGCCTGTACTTGATTTGAGACTGTAATTTGTCTCGATGTCTAACTTGCAGCTCGGGTCTCTTTCTGTAATAGAAAAACTTTAGCTTCAACTTCATGAGTGGAAATACTGTTAAAAAGAAAAGTGATTCCTATATGTAACCAATAATTATCATCTTGCCTACAGTCCCCAGGCATTAAAGGAGGGATTTTTAAGAATTACATCAATTAATTTAATTTAAAAGTGGAAAAAAACAGATTAGGAATTTACTTATACTGTCCATTTTCACCGTCTGCTACTGATTTTCAGTGTCTTAAAGGTGTTTTTGCAAAATCACTTTAATTTAATAGACTTTTTGTTTATGAATGTCATTTTTTTTGCTTTCAGATATCAACATGGCAGGAGAACCAAAACCATACAGACCAAAACCTGGCAACAAGCGACCGCTATCAGCACTTTACAGGTAAGTGGGAATTCACCTTAACTTACAACAAATATTTTTTTTTATTAGGAAAATTATTTTAGCCTTAAGTGTTTGTGTTCAAGTGTATCTACAAATATCACTGCATATCACGTGAACTAGACAAACTAAACCTTCCCCCCTTGTGGGGCAATATATATGAAATATAATAAAGCCAGATATTCCAAGGTATTGTGCACACTAAAACTTTTAGAACATGAGCAATCAGCCCAAAATCATAGGGTTTGATGTTATATATGTATGTTAACTATTTCCAGAGAACAGTATTCTAACTTCCAGAAGTTAAGACTGTCTTTGAGGTGTCTTAGCAAACTGACCCCGACTAGTAACAGTCAAGCAAACAACATTTCTGACTAACCTTTGGATGCAATGGTCACAATCTGCAAATAAAACCCCTTTTTTGGTTGGAAGCAAACACCAGAATTTCTGCTACCTATTTTAAATAAAAAAATCCTTAGTTTATTTAAATGATAATACAGATATTCAGAAGAATAAATAAAGCTAAATACTGGCAGTGATTGATATTCCTTTAGTATGAAATATCACAGCCTAATCACCTTATATTTGCACAAGTTTAGCTCTAAGGACACTAATATCACTGGAATTTTACATAGTGAATGACAGGTTCTCTTAGACCAGACTCAAGTGATAAGTCTAGAGCTAAAGTTTAAATTTAGAAACCTGTTGCATTTAAATGTTACTTCTAATTTTGAATTATTTGATTACACATTATTTTTGCTAAATACACCTTATCTCTTAAAACCACAGATTTTATGTTCCATATCCATGTAAGGAGTTAGAGCTGATTTCTGCTGGGACTTAAATGTGGATAAGCTGGATCTGAGGAAGATAAATTAGCACTGAAATGAGAGACACTTGAGTGAGACCTCTTTAAGCTAGGTCTAGTCTGAAAGCATCAGAACCCAATTTACTTTGGGCAAAATGCTGAGTTGAGCCATATGATGTTTCACAATATTAACATGAGCATCTCTACAAATTGCTCCTTTGGACATTGCCTCTTATCGCCAGCGGATTTTGGTAAAATTTAGGAATTTACTTCTAGTTCCCAGTGGGAGTTAAATAGGATTGGACAGAGGCTGTTATTCTCTATCCCCTCCCAAATTTTCCTATTCAAATCACTGCTTCAGCTTTCAAAGTTGAATCTTTTCAGTCCACTTCAGATATAATTTGTGTTCTTTTTGGACAGTATGAAGCTTATGATGCCTCTTGTACCAAGCTCTGTCAAGACTGGGGTGGGGAGAGAGAAGATGTGAGCTCTCTTTTTTGCCTTTTTTTTTTTTTTAACAAAAATGACTTGATAATTATTGTCAACAGAAGGAATTTGATGGAATTTCATGAAAGAGATCTCACAATGAGGTACCCAGGTGCATCTCATATCAGATTAGAACATGGATGCTTTGTTAGTAATGAGAAGAAATAGCATATAGTTATTCAAGTTATAGGTTTATTATTTTTGGAGAAGAGATGCCCTATTTTATCTTATTCAAAACTGCAAGCTTTATAATTCTATGGGTGTTACTGGCAGCCGTGGGATTAGTGTTCCTATATCAGAATTTTAAAAGATTTCTGAAAGTAGTCTGTGGGTTTGTTTGTTTGTTTTTCCATTTATATCTACTCTCATTCTGTTGAAATTCTGCTCATAAATGCTTGTTCTGCATTCAAGAAAGAGAGAAGAGACTTGTTGAATCTCTCTGAAGATTAAAAAGAAAAAAAAAACTTATTTTGTGTCCTTTTGTGTATAGGACAGACTATTTCCCTAGAAGATCATGAGAGTTTGTTTGTTTGTTTTTGTTTTTTGAGGAACTAAAAGAAGCCTTTTCCTGATAGTAATGGAAAATTTTCATTGCACAATGTCTACTAGGAGAATAATGTGTCAGGAAACAGTTGGCTCATAAAGTTCTTGGCAGTACTGAGAACATTTTCAGAACTTCAGAAGAATAGAATATTCCTTAGAAAAAAATGAATAGTATTGCAGCCAATTGCACCCAATAGTATTGGGTTTTTTTTCACAACCTGAAAAGAGAAAAGGAGTTGCATAAAATGTGGAGACAAAAGCAGGTGAGTAAAGGTGAACAGTGGAGTCACCTAACAGGAAATAAAAAAGACTAAGTCATACAACCAGTATAAGTATAGAGATATATATATATACGCATGCACACTAATATATGCATATATGTATATGTTAATCTTTAGTATACTCAATGAACAAGAACTAAAAATGTGCTTAAAGGCTTAGGGTGGAGTCCAGGATTCTGTTAAAATGTAACATAACTGTTCTTTCCAGTAGCATTGCTCCTCGTTTGTTTTGTTGTTCATTATTTGAGGGGAACCTCTATTGGAGAAAGTCCAAAATTGTTGTGAATTTCCCTTTTTTAGCACAGTGCTTATGCAGAAAACCAAAAGCTTGACAAATTTTCGTCTCAGAATTATTTTACACATTGGTATTTGGCCGTAGCTTCAAGCAAAAGTTAATTTTTATGTCTAATCTTCATATGTTTGAAATACAAGGTGCAGATTAAAAGTGCTGACATAAATGCATTAAAGCAGTGTTTGGGAGCACTGTTGTAGTAAAACGAAGAATCACACTATGTCTATTTAATTTACGGATGATTTGATCAGTGTTTCAATAAAGCAATTCTCTCAAAAGATGGAAGTCCATTTACTTTTCTTTTTCCTATAGGTATGTATGTGCTCCAATATACCAAAGCAGAATCAACCAGAAATAAATTGGTAGAATGGCATACTGTTTCTCTGCTTCATAAACAATTATTAAACTATTTGTTGTTCGCTTCAGTCCACCATCTTGCTATATAAGGCATTGAATATATATAGTCTAAAGGCTTCTTCTCACCTGGAGGTCTTTACTATAGCTGTTAAAATAGGACAGTGTTCTCATTAGCATAAATATTCATTGTGGAGGTTGCTTAGGGCTGCATCCACACAAACGAGTACACGCACTCTGATGGAGCGGAGCAATTGTGCACGCACCACTCATGGCTTGCCTTCTTTCAGGGCACACTGAGCCCTGTGTAAAGCTACATGACCTGTCACTGGAAGGGTGTCTATAATTATTTACGGTTTCAGTTGTACTGAACGCAAGAGATCATCATTTTTCAAGTGCAATAATTTATTAGAGTTAAAAGGTTATAACAAACCCAAATGTATAATATAGCTATAGAAAACAGAAGTGAAAAAATATATAAATATCAGAGCTCTATAGATAAATCGTGGGTGCATGGTATAACAACCACTCTTTTCCCTAATGGGCCAGCCCTCTGCTGCAGTTTCCCCACAGTTCTCTAGCAAATGAACTCATGGCACAGCAACTACTCTCATACCTAAGTCCATGTTAGCTCTTGTGGGGCCCCCCCAGAACAAACCCTTCTTCTATGGGCTGTACTATTCTGAGTCTCATACTTGCCTATCAGGCTGTCAGCTTTGAGATCTGATTAGAGCCTTAGTGCAACCCATTAGCATTAACCAAAATAAATAAATAAATAAATAAAATCAGGGGAGTTTGAGAAGAATTTGTAGTGCTCATTTTAGAGTAGCTAGAAATAATGTAAAGACTGTGCTAGGGGCTGCCAGAATGGGGTGGGGTTTTTTCAGTGCCATGAAAATGACACGGTATGTGACATGAAAGCTGAGACCTACTGGAAACCGAATAGAGCACAAGGAGTCAAATCTTGGGCAGTGTTAACAAAACTGCCTATGGAGAGAACCATGGGAGTCAAGAACCACACCCAAGCCTCTTTTCTAAGAAAACTATTTTACTAAAGCCCCTCAGGAGTGAACTGGTATTTATATAATGTAGGTAAGCAGGGGAATACGGTTTGGAAGTAGGAGACTAAGTCAGTCAGTCATCACTATAGATGAATCTATTAACTCTCCTTGTTCTACACACTTAATATTGTAGTTCACTTGCAAACATTTCAAAGACAGATTTATCTGAGAATAAATTTAAAAATCAATTTATATTACTTGTTCCCCGTCCCCGGACAAGTTATTTTTTCTCATGCTACAAATAAGGCAAGCAAACTTTGCTAATTGCTGCATCTTGAAGTCCAGTGGGGAATTATTCAAACTATACTCTTCCCAGTGTTTCCAGTGCTGGCTGAGTGTGAATCCTTCCAGCCTACCATGCATCAAAAGTGAGGCATGTCTGGAGCAAGGAGAGCAGCAGGATGGATTTAGTGGATGAGTTAACGGGACCTGAGAGTAGTGAATGAAATCATCTCTGAGACCTTCCTTGTAGATTCGGCCAGTCTGATCTCTACCCAGCGCTGATTTGGTTCTTGTAGCACTGCCTGCCTACAGCACACGGTAGTGTGGGCAACGGCTTCTCTTGAGGGCAAATCCTTTCCATGATCCTCTATAAAGTTGCAAACTTGTGATTCAGTGGTGGAATTAGATTCCACAGTCATTTCCCATTTCGAGTGAATTCTCAGGGTAACTGAAATTTTTATTTAGGATGCTTGATCTAACATGATACTAGTTAACTATATTAAATAGCCTTTTCTTTACAATTACATAAGTCTCATTTGCCTCTGAAGAAAATCATTTCATTCAGAAGTCTTTATATACTAGAAAGAGATTCTGTTCCATTGTCAACATATCATTATGTCCTTATATTAAGGTCTTTTTTTTCTTTGACAAAAATACCTTATCACTTTCTTCAATAAATTTTACTTTGATAATCTCTGTCACAAAGTTGATTGGATTATATTACATATCTTATGTTTTCTTTGGTCTTGTAAATTAATATTATAGCTGAGGCTTAAAGAATTTTTTACAGTCTTTGGTTGTTTACATCTTCTTCTTGGATTTATTATAAGATATCTTTTAGAGTTTTGTTTGGTCTGGTTTTCCTTTCAGTCATCAGAGATATCCATTATTTTGAGGACCTTCCAGGTTTCTTGAGATCATTCCTCCTGCTTGAAAATGTAACATATTCAACAAAC